TAGTGCCAGTGGTCAGCCAAAGAGTAGTGGTCGAGCAGTGCATCCCAAGAGTTTCAAATGGGGCGCAGCCTCCTTTACATTCAAAGGACCCCGCTCGTACCAAGTGACATGTCCGAGGATATGTACACATAGGCACGCCGCTGGAAAGCACACGGCGTGCACGAAAACCAAGGTATTTGCTAGCGAAGAGGAGGAGGCTCTTTTGATTCGTCAGCTGAAATATTGGGTTTCTCAGGCGTCAAGGTTTGCGTCCCGCAGGGACCACATGAATCGATGTCAGTTTCTGACTCCTCCAAGCGATGACGAGCTGGAAGCCAGCAAGATTGCCAGTGACTATGAAACCGAGGATGAGGAGCGTAGGCCAGTGGTCAAGCGACGCAGAATTGTTGGCAAGTCAGCTGATGTTGAAGCAGCTGTGTCTTCTGCTAAAGCAGCAGCAAAATCAACTGCAAAAGCCAAGGGCAAATCTTCAGCTAAGCCTCGGCCTCAACCTAAGAGTAAAGGCAAGGCGAAGGCAAAGGCGAAGGCTACGGCGGCTACTTCATCCCCTGCCCCTGACAATCCTGTGTCTGATACAGCTGAAGCAAGTAGTAGCTCGAGCTCGAGCAGCGGTTCAAGCAGTTCAGACAGTTCAGAGTCAGGTTCGAACTCAGACTCAAGTAGCAGCCACAGCAGCAGCGACTGAAGGGAGCTGCCTTCAAGCAGTGCGGTTATCATCCCAGTGTGGAGGTTACCCTGACTTGTTTACTTCTGTTGCTCCTGGTTCTTTGGGGGTTAAATTTTTGATGTCAATAATTGGGTGAATTGTGAACATGAAAGAAGGCCACCCAGGGGAGGGTTTCCAATGTTGTAGGGATTTGGAAAGGGTTGGGTTGGGGGGGTTAGGTTAGGCTCATGATCCCAGACTTTACCATAGAGTCGTGACGTAACCCGCTTAAAAGCCCATATAGACCCCCAAACAAAACCGTCCATGCAGTCCACGCCAGGTTGCTTGACTTCGGCGACTTCCTGGTCTTCGTATCATTTCTTTCTGATGATGAAGGCGTGGAGACTGTGATAGGGCGGAACTGTTGTATCGTTTCAACTAGTGACGTAACCCTCTGCTTGTCTAAAGCCTGTGCAGACCCTCAAACACAACCCTCCACACACTCCGCGCCAGGTTGCTTGACCTCGGCGAGTTCCTCGTGTGATTTCTTGGCGGTGATGAAGGCGTGGAAGATTGCCGGGCTGATTAGCGACTACCTCAAGTGGTGTCGTGACGTGTCGTGTCTGATGCTAAATGTTCCTATGTAGTGTTGAACAGTGCTTGAATCCTGCCTCTCGTGCTCATGCAGGGTCTGGTTGTGCTTCTTGGTGGTGTGGTTATGTGTAATGTGCACTGCGTTGATCATTTTTCAGAATAGAGCCAATGCGTGAGCCAACGCACACAAGCCCGAGCATATCAAAGCCTTTTAAGCCCGTGTAGATTCCTGTGACTTATCTATAAAGCCTTTAAAACATAAGAAGCCCGAAGCCCTCCAAGCCTGACCTGCAGAGCCTCTCTTTGCAGGCGGTCGAAATGAGATTGTTGCAGAGGCAGGAAGTCCTCTGGCTTTGGGCAACTTTGGGCAGTTAGGATCTTGGGAAGTCACCTTGTTGGATCTTCTTAGGAAGTTGAGGGTCGAGGGCGAGGGTTTGCGGTTGAGCACAGTTGGTACAAAAAGGTTTTCCTGAAGCATGTTGCCAGTGCACATTGAAGAGTAGAGACGACCCGGGCCCCCAAATTTTCCGAACATTGCGGCCTGGAGATTCTGGGGTGGAGGGTTCATTCGCTTTCGCCAGGATTCCGCGGCGTCAGCAGGCGTCAGCAGATTTTCGAAATTTTCTTTTGAGCCGCCCGATTCTCAGATTCTGAGTTGGATTTCGAGAGGTGCACCATTTGCGCCACTGTTCTGCTGCAAGCTTGTCTGGAGCATCATTTCCCGACCTCTCCCCAGACTCTCCCCGACTCTCCCCGACTCTCCCCGACTCTCAGGCTGTCTGGTCTCTTTACCCCAAGACTACACATAGACTCCTCCCCGACTCTCCCCGACTCTCCCCGACTCTCCCCGACTCTCCTGGCCCTCCCTGAGCCCTCTGCTGGCCCTTCTGAGGCCTCTTGAGAAGCTTCGTGCCGTGGAGGCCGGTGGACAGAATTCTGCTGCAGTTCTGCGGATTTCTGTGGATT